TCCAATTTCTTCCCCCTGTATTTCCATGTGTCAATGTTCCTGTCTACATCCCCCTGCTAAACACCCAATCCCCTCTACTCTTCCTCTGTAGCCTCCTCTTCCTCTCCTCGAGTTGCTCCAGATCTGGAGCAAGCTCGGCCCACAACCAGTGGAGAAGAGGAGCTGCAGCTGCAGCTGGCCTTGGCTATGAGCCGAGAAGAAAGTGAAAAGGTACCTCTAACTGAGATAACACACACACACACACACACACACACACACACACACATGAGCACAAACCTCTCATCCATACAGCACATGCGCCTGACAGAAAGAGGCTTCTTAGCTGCCCTGCTGCTGACATGTTATGTTGTAACGCCGAAGTAAAACATTTAACGGCTCCCACACACACATGCTTGGACGCTATCTGTCCTGGTGGGGAAACACTCCCACTGCCTGTCTCCACTAGCCACCATTTCCCAGAACCCTTAACAGAAAGTGATATCATCAACTCTGTCTATGATGGCGTCAATAATGGCACTTTGACCAATCAGTGTCAAAGAGGAGCTTTCTCACTGAGGAGTGAGGAAGCTGTGAGTGAAAGAGTCGAGAAGCCAGACAGGATGTGCGCATTGATCCACTCCTAAGCCCGTCGGAGTCTCCATGGCAAGGGCAGCCGTTGCCCTCTGTGACTGCTGAATATATTATAGTGCATAGCAGTTTCCATCTATGTAATCAAACCAAGCTGTGAATTAAATGATCAAACTGAGATCCATACATTTGATCTCCACTCTTCTAAATCACCTCAAATCAGTATATTTAAGAATCACTTGAGCAAAATCAAGTGTGCTTTTATCTTTCCCTGTGATTAGCCAAATTCCTAATCATTCCTGCTTGACCCTAGCCGCCTCCTACAGTGGATATTGATGAACATACCCAGCTCCAGATCGCAATGACTCTCAGCAAGGAGGAGGCCCAGAAGGTACAAGTATGCTGGGACCAGGGATGACCTTTTCTTTGCATCCTTTGCCCTGTAGCACATCTCCTGTTGCTCTGTACACTGAAACCAACCTCATGTCCCAGTCTGGGCCCTTCTGAACAACAACTGCATGCACTCACTCTCCTCACCCCTAAACAGGGACATGTAACTTTCTCCAGTGACTAATAAGAGGCTTCATCCTCCTGTTCCACTAACCACCAAACCTCTCCTCTTAGTCCTGTAGTATGAGATATCAGTGTCTCCCCTGGTGTGGTGTCAGGGGAGAGTTTGGGGAATTGCATGCAATGTACTGTGAAGATGTCCAAGCACTATTTCCACTTCTGCTGACCAATTACTGATTGCAGTTACCTTCCCAGTCAACACCCTCACAGCCAGTCCAATGTGCACCTCCCACACTGGATTTGGATGAGGAAAGCCAGCTCCAGTTAGCCTTGAGCCTGAGCAAAGAGGAGCACCAGCAGGTAGGTTTCCTTTGGGGTCACTCTGTTGTATTGTCTCTGGCAACCTTTTTACTCCACCTCTCTCTTCCTGTCTCTCTCTGTCTCTTTGTCTTTTTCTCTCAATATACTGTAGCACAATAGAACTGCTCTGTTAGAGCTGACAGTGATGCTCTGCCCTCTCCTCTCTTTGACCAGAGAACTTTCTAGTTTGTGCCCATTGCACACATCTATCTCTGGGTCATATGTTGCCTTGGAAAAAAAAAAAAAATACAAGCTGGCTTTTGTGCTTGTGTGCACCCGCTGAGTCATAAATATAGTATGATGTGACAGTATGTGAAATGTGCCGTAAGCTATCATGCCCAAAAGGCGTCCATGTGTCTGTATCTGTTGACAGGAGCAACTTAGTCGCCAAGGAGATGAGTCGATGCTCCAGAAAGCTCTGGAGGAGAGCAAACGTGAGATGGAGACTAAAGGCGGGGTATGAAATATTGGGGTATGGAATATCTCAATGGGGGGTGATGAAAAATAACCATACATTGTAGTTTGCATTGTTTTTCCTCGTGCTTTGAGAACATGCATTTGTAGACCAAAATCAACTAGAATGCTTTAGTATATTGATGGGAAGGATTATTAGGTCTGATCAGACCATTGAATACACAAACATTTCAGTCTGGAGAACTAGTGAGTGCTGAAGCACTATACTGAACTGACACAGCTTTCTTCTTGTTTTTGTGGTCAGACCGCCTTCATGGACCTGGTAGATGTTTTTGCAGTGCCCTCAGATCAGCCTCCTAGTGACCACAGATGGAATAATCCCCCACACCAGGCGGCTGCTCGCCTGGGAGGCACAGACCCCTGGGACTCTCTGGGTGAGCCTTGAGTTAACTTACTATGACAAAAAGAGGAGTGTTTAAGCACCAAGTTGTACACAACATGTAGTAAATTATAGTCATAAAATATCTATTCTTTGAGGACAGAAACAATGAAACGGATATACCGTACAATAAGTTATGTTCTGCTCATATGCTATGATAAACTTACAGCTGCAGAACAGAAGCCTCACTCTCTAATTCACCTCTGTGTTATTAAAGAAGGCAGCACCAGCACCTCGAGAGTAGATCCTCCCTGGATGGCACCACCGACTTCCAGCAGCCCCCCTCCACCGTGGGAGCCCCCAGTCGACCCCTGGGATGGACCACAGAGCAATGTCTCTAACGTGAACGCCACAGGCAGAGAATGGGCTTTCCCTGCCAACACAGGTGAGTGAGTGTGTGTGCTTAGCTTAGCCTAGCCAATGATAAATATTTCACAATAATTTAGTAAAACTGCATTTTGGTGTATTTATAGCCTCCTCAGGAGTTGATCCATTCTCAGTACCATCAGCAGAAGCAGCCCTCAAGGGACCTCCCCCTCGAACTGGAAGCCCGTCAGGTAAACATTACTTTTTTTTTTTTCACACTGTGGTTCTGTATATCCCACACACTTGCGTAAGAACTCGCTCTTTTTTCACTATTAGATGGGGATTTGTTTGATGAGGCCATGGATGGAGGTCAGGTGAATGTAAACGGGCGAGAGGAGGGCAGCCCTGAGCTATTTGACCTATCACGTCTTGGAGAAAGCCTGGCTGCCCCTAGCCCTCGTACATGCCGGACACCTGAGGCCTTTTTGGGCCCCACAGCGGCTTCTTTGGTAAACCTGGACACCCTGATCCCAGTAAACCCTCCAGCCAAGACCATGAACCCTTTTCTATCAGGTATTTATTGTATTATTGGTTGTTTATGCGACTGAATTTTGTTTTCCAAAGGGAAAGACCAGGAAAGTGTGTGCTTTGATCGCTGTAACTCTAGATTTAAATCAGTTGGAGATCTACTGGAGCATACCATAAGTATATTGTATAGATTAATTCCTAGCTTGTATTATTTTACTGTATTTCTGTATGGAGTTTCAGCATTCTTGAAAGCACCAGTTTTTAGAACAGTGAGTGCAATCCAAGATTCACTGTCAAAAAAAATCAAGGTTAAATGTTCACAATGACATGATATCACATGAAATGATACATTTAATAGAAATAACTTTGTTAAAGCAAACCTAATAGTTGTTTTTCTTTTGTTTCTTTCTCTTTAGGCCTCAGTGCTCCTTCAGCCACCAATCCATTCCAAAATGAGGCGCCCAAACTAACTCTGAATCAACTGGGCTCCACCACTGCGGCTCCTCACCCCACTTCTCTTCCATACAGTGCCTCCTTGCCCCTGCCTATGAGCCACCAGCCTGCCAGCCTCCCTTCGTCACTTACTCACCCCACCCAGCCTGGCCTGAACCTGCCAGGGAACCTCCCCGAGCCCTTGTTGCCGTTCTCTTCAGCCAGCACTGACGAATCACAGGCTGCACTGAACCCTTTCTTATGAGGACCTACAAAACTGGAGAAAATATCGTAGTAAAAAAAAGGGGGAATGCCATTAGGTTATGCTCTTGAAATATAACTCTAACCGCAGACCAAACTGCAGCCCCAAGGACCTGTATGAAAGCCCTATTCTTAGTTGTTTTTATATTGTGGTATAATACAGTAACCCTTAGATTGATGCAAGCTGGTTCTGCTCCTCACTGCGACACTCTCTCCTACTCTCTTGTCATGAATGCAGTAACAAGTTATGAAAGAAATAACACCTTTGTATCAGAAGCTGTTAGTGTCACGTAAAACTTCTTAAAGGCCAAAGCTTGTTGCAAATTGACTTCAGAGACAAATGTACACAAAAGCACAGTTTGATAATATTTTGTCACTTCTTTTCGCTATAATTACCAGGTAAATGTATTACAGCTTTTCAAGTAGTCAACAAGTCTCCTGCTCACTCAGCTGTTTGTGTGATTGGCTTTACCGGCCACTGCTGCTGTCATATACTCCTGCTTCAGAAAAAAGGTGATTTCTGATACGAACCAAGAGTTGGAGACCTGTCCAGTTCTTGAAATGTTGCTGCATCAACATGGTTAACTTTGTGGGGCTTCTGTTGGAGCAGACCTGATGATAAACATCAGTGTATACATGATTTTACTATTGTGAAATGAATCGCCGGGGTTAAATCATAATTTGGGAGGACTGTAAGCGCTTCTGAATTTACTATAAGCAAGGCAACATTAGAAAATGTATAAAAATATGAGTTTTATTCATTGCTTGTGAACCACTGACTCTCATCAAATATAAGGGTATAATAAGAACACTGCTTCATTCTTCTGTTTTCTATGTTCTCATTTCCTCTGATAAATGCGTTTATTATGAAATCATCCCAATTCCGACACACACCCAGTACCAGTCACAGTATTTGTTGTGCACTTTATGCCCCCTGCTGGTAATGACTTGTTACTACTATACTGCATCACTGACATTAATCAGTTTAGCTCTTCTAACCTGTTTCTCACAGTGACCTTGTTGATAAAACTGAATTGCAGAAACCTATTTTATTGCAAAATAAAAATAGTCTTTACCTAACAGTAGCAGGTTCCCCCCAGCGACATGTCTTATGATCACACTCCAGTCAGTCATGAATCCCTGCAGTTCACGGTTTATATGTCTGGAATTTAATCAGTAAAAGTCACTTTATAATGTTGATTTAATAAATGGTCAACCATACAATCATCCTGCCATGATATCACTAATACATTCCCTTCTCCATTCACACTTATAAACAAGGTCCAGTCTGTAGGATTTAGTGCTATAAAGCAGTGACGTTGCAGATTGCAACCAACTGAATGTCGCTTGCCTTCAAAGCATATAGGAGAAAGTACAGATACTCGCCAAAATCATCATTCTAACATAACAAACTCACAACAATTATTATTTTCAGGTGATTCTACACTAACGAAAACATACCTATGAATATTATATTCCAACAGATCCTCCTAAATGTTACACACTAGACCTTTACCTGTTTTTCTTGTCATGACTTTTTTTGCTTTTATGCTTGGCATTTAATACTTATGTATGGACAGCTGGAGACCGAAAGGAAAGGTAGGGGAGAGAGAGAAGTGATGACAAGCAGCAAAGGGCACGGGCTGCAATGGAACCTGAGCTGCTGTGGTAAGGTCTCCTCCTTGATACATGTTTGACGCTCTACCAGGTAAGCTACCAGGGCGACCCCCTAAATCCTCTGAACAGTCTCTGCTGGAAATACTGACATCTCATGCCAAAAGGCTTTAAGTCATTATTTAAACTTCTGTGAGAGGAGCATCACTTTATAAGGAACACATGTATTATAGTTCACTTGATTGCGATGGACTCCAGCCAGCTCAGCACCTCCTGAAGTCCCTGTCCAGAGTGGGCACTGACTTCCAGTGTTGTGATTGGCTGAGTAGCCGATGCAATGATGTCATCCATTCTGAACAGTGACTTCATCTCTGTAAGACTCATAGTGCAAGGCATGTCCCTGGAAGAGGGTAGAAAGAAAAACTAAAATAAGAAAATACACAATGGCAAAAATTAGTCCGACTTATAATACTGGATACAATATTGTGTTGAACCTGCTGACACTGACATCTCACAGGTATAACAAGTGAACGTAGGTATTGATATGCATGTTTGTGTCACCTCTTGTTGAAGAGAATAAGCACCGAGACACTACGCAGAGGTTCAGCAGAGAGCACTGACAGCAGCTGGATACAGGAGGAGGATACCTGAGCAGTGTTGCTTGAGTCTACCATGAACTATGAAACAACACAAAGAAAGAAACACTCAGTCAAATAATTCCAATAGTGAATGTATTTACCTCTGTTAAATGCTGCAAATAGTATGTATACAAAGAACATACAATGACCGAGGAGCAGTCTTTGAAGTAACTCGGCCATATAGGGCCCATGCAGCCTCCCAGCTCTCTTAATGTCAGCTTCTTCCTCTTCAGTGTCAGGTCTGTGAGGTTGGTTCCTACCTGTGGAGGTTTAAAGACATTTGAGGCATTACAGGAATGAGCTGTCTCGTCAAAACTGAGCCGTCAACCGACCTCTCATGACTACTTACTGTAGGAAGAGTAGAAGGAGGTCCCCCCAGTTCACCTGGTCCGTGAAAACTGAGCTGTAAACAAAATCTGTTAGGAAAAATACCCTCAGAAAACAGTGCTCTGATGTTTATCGTGTATATCAGCTTACGAGGCAAAACATTTAAAATGTTTCTACAGTATTTGATCAGTCAAGAAAGTGGTATTTTGTGATAAGTTTTTCTAAGGTGTATGTAATTTAAAACACAACGTGAAATAACATTTTAGTCTCCTTTTTCTTTTAAAATAACATGTCATGTATTTACCTCCTGTGAAGGCATCGACCTATATTGGTGGAGAAAGCCTATAATATAAGACTTAACGGTGAGCTAACTAGCTAGCTACTATCAGGCTACATTAGCCAGCTACTGAAGCAGAACAACACTTTCAGTTTTACGGTATATTGTTTTTAAGATTCTAGTGCAAAACACACAAAGGATATTTTGTAGACGTTTCATTAGTAACGTTTTTCCGACACCAGTCGCTCCAAGAAGCAGACAAGTTGCATTGCTGCTCATTTCTGTTCTCCAACAGAAGCATATCGTAGCCAGTGGTAGCATGTATGAGCTAATGTAGAGTCGTTTGGCACCATGGCGACGCTCATGTGACCGTTTTACGTGGCTGTGATAGGACGAAGCGGAATTCAATCATTTCCCTTCTCGTCTCTGATTGGTTGGTAACCTCGCGGATGAATACAACGGAAGAAAAACAAGTTCACGATCCCCGAGCAGAGTCCTTGTTGGTTGACACGACGGAAGCTGTCAAATACGCCTCTTAATAAGCCTTCTCGTACTGCGTTTTAGGTGTTAGCCAGTCTGTGGCTTTAACGCCACAATAATTCCCCCATAATTGGGTTTGGGACGTAACAATGGAGGCTAAGTTAAAGAAAGAGTTGGGGACAGCCGTGTTGAAGTCGACCGGTCACTCGGGAGGAGGATGTATCAGCGAGGGCCAGAGTTATGATACTGACACTGGGAGAGTGTTTGTGAAGATAAATCACAAGAGAGAGGTATTTTATGATATGTTTTAAATAATATTATATGAATACCTATACTATATTATGTGTAAAGACCTAGATCCAGCTGCTAGCTAACTTCCCCTCTGAAAGCCATTTCCATTGCACTGAACTTTCTGCATACATTACGAAATGCAGAACAATGTATTTATTTATTTATTTATTTTACATGCAAACTAGTGTAGATCTGTGCTATTGCAATGCCTGTTTTGTTTTGTTCTGTTTTGTTCAGGCCAAATTGATGTTTGATGGGGAGATGGCCAGTTTGGAAGCCATTTTAAAGACAGAAACTGTTAAAGTCCCCAGGCCTGTGAAGGTGATTGAGCTTGACACAGGAGGATGTGTATTTGTGATGGAACATCTGGACATGAGAGGCCTTAGCAAGTAAGAGCTGTCTCATGCAGTTTGTCAGTGTCAGTACGTCTGTTTGCATGTTAGAAAAGAGGGAAATGTGAAAATATAGTTGTTGTTTTTTTTAAATAAAATACTTTATTTCCAAATCCAATGTGTAGGTACTCAAAGCATCTTGGAGAGCAGCTGGCAGATCTGCATCTTCACAACAAGAGACAGTTGGGAAAATTGAATAAAGAGCAGCAGACAGTGGGTAATAACATCTCTTTAATACATGGAAATGTAGACGAATGCACAAAAATACACCACACACTGAATAGCAGCTTACTCTAAAAAATTAAGTAAGAATGAATTACTATATAACTTATTTGACTGTACACAGGGAAAGGAGCGGGGCAGTCAGAGGTGGCTGTTGTTGAAAAATTTGGCTTCAGTGTAACCACATGCTGTGGATATCTACCACAGGTAAAATATATATATAGCATCTGTATACTAGGCAAAACAGGACTGTAGTGTTAGTCTGTGAAATGTAGTAAATTTGTAGCACTTGTAATCTGTGAGTCTTTGAGATATTACAGTTTTCCTTCGCAATATCACTGTAGTTTGAATTTTCTTTCTTTGCCTCCCCAGGAAAATGAGTGGCAGGATGACTGGGTGACATTTTACTCACAGCAGAGGCTGCAGCACCAGCTTAACATGGTGGAGAAATCTTACGGAGACAGGGAAGCCAGAGAACTATGGGCCGAGCTCCAGGTGCACCCTTCCTTTGACCTAATCAGAAACAAAACACAACACACGTCTTTTGATTGTATCAAAAATCTGACAGTGCTACTTGCATATTGTCTTTATTTACAGCTGAAGATCCCTCAGTTTTTCACAGATGTGGAGATTGTCCCTGCCCTCCTCCACGGAGACTTGTGGGGAGGCAATGTGGCACAGTGTGCAGACGGCCCGGTCATCTTTGACCCAGCTTCCTTCTATGGCCATTCAGAGTATGAGCTGGGTATTGCAGGGATGTTTGGTGGCTTCAACAGCTCTTTTTACTCTGCCTACCATGAAAAGATTCCTAAAGCACCTGGCTTTGCAAAGAGAAACCAGCTTTACCAACTCTTCCACTATTTGAATCACTGGAACCACTTTGGTGGTGGCTACAGGGGCTCTTCGATAAGCGTTATGAAGAATCTACTGAAATAAATGCACTCGCACTCACTTTCAGAAAGCTTCACAGTCTTAAACTCATGGCAAGTATTATGTATATATTGACAGATGCTAATTTGTCCGGGAACAGTGTGGCTAGACACTAAACATAACATATAGGCTCTATTAATATTTTTAAATTCTTTATTTTCTACAATGACATGTGTATAGGTTGCCTATAACCAAACATAAACCATATCAAAGAAGCTGAGTTTTTTTGGTATGCTGCAAACTCTTCCTTAATTTTGTGTAAATCTTCCTTATTTAACCACCCGACTGAATTACATTGCTGTGCAAAGGACAACTGATTTTCCCAGTGAGTACAATATTGTGTACTTTACCTACTTTATCTACATCATAGTAGCCTGATTGTTAATGTCATACAGACTGACACACTTCATACACCCACAAAATGTTGCAGTATAACAGTGAATCCATTCATTTGGATAGTTTGTATCCACTGCTTAACCAACAATAAACCCTGTGATGATCCAAAGTATTTCTCCTGACCTGGTGTATTTGTTATCTATCTGGTATGAAAACATATGAAAAGCTTCTTTTCCCAGGCTGCTGTACACCTTGCCACTTAGTAACATAAACATATACTTAAACTTAGTCATCTTACATTAATGTTGATTGCTACAATCCTTATATGTGTATTATTATAATTTATATCTTCATTTCATACTATGAAACAGCTATTTGTAGTTTATTAGAACATAGCTTTCATGTTTTGATGCACTTAGGTTGTTTTTGTGTCTTTATATAATCACAATCTTACATGAACTCTGCTTGAACTTACACAGCGCAGTTGTGTCTGATATTAAACCAGTATCCAATCCAATCCAATCCAACTTTATTTGTTAAGCACTTTAAACACAAGTTGAAAAATTTTTTAAAAAAAAAAAAAAAAAAAATTAAAAAAAAAAAAAATATTAATGAAGAAAAAAACCATTTTGGGGAATATAGACAGTAATTCAAGCTCTCTTGATACTATCATATACTAATTAGATAAATAAACACTAAATATTTAACAAACTCGCCATCAATGAGCTTCAGTAGCAGAATGGGTTACATTCAGCTCTGGAGCTGTCACGTGACCTGTGACACATTTGAGCCTTTTCGCTTACCGTACCGTACCGTACCGGGGCGGGGCGCGAACACTTCTACGCACTTGTGCGGGAGCATCATAACAGAGGATTTATGAGGACTGGTGCCACGGTGTTGTCTAGTGAGATTAATTTCAGCTTCCGTACAGTCATTTTTTCCACGTTAATACTCTCTAGACTGTCGTAGCTGTAACTTTTAATACATTCCGTCGTTTCCGAGCTAGTTTTAATCCAGAGTCGTTTATTTTGCTAGTCATGAATGCTAATATCAGCTAGCTAACTCATAACTTATAACAGCCAACACGCTAACGTTAGCCTCTGCAACAAAGGCACTCTTTTGTGGGTAAAAGTTAGGCAGCATGGCCTTGTCGGAGATAGAGAATGGGTGCCCCGGTGGTGAGGGAGGAGAGTCGGACCTTATTGTAAAAGCCTGTGTGTTGGGGGGCTTCAGTGAGACTGTCGAGACCAGAGCTCTCATCTCCAGCCTGCCGGAGGTCCACGGAGACCCGGTGACAAGCGAGTCCACCACAGAGAGGTTCTTGGGTGAGATCCGCAGCGTACATAAAGCATTAAATAAACCATTTTAATCAGGGCTTTAGTTCAGTTCATCACACTCTCCCCCCCACAGTGATAATGAACAGATATCAAGAGCAGCCTCATCTGCTGGACCCACACACAGGTACATTATGATAACTAAAATCACTTTATATCGGCACTGCACATTCATTTAGAGAATGTATGTGTAATAAAACTGCTTAAAATGTTCAATTTTGTCTCAGAATGGATGTTGAACATGATACTGGAGTTTGTAAGGAGTGAGAAGTCTCCACCTTCATTGGTTCATTTGAGCTTCAAGTTTCTCTACGTCGTCTGTAAGGTGAGTTGAAAACAGCACTCAGGTTCACGTTAGCTGTGTGCTGTCTGGTAGGTTTTCACTGACTTTGCATTTACACAGTAAAACCTGCAACACTCATTTCACTGACACAGCTATGCTGATTTGTGAGCCTGTCCTCGGGTTGTTTATATTTATTTACTTTTTCCTGCACAGGTCAGAGGCTATAAAATCTTTATGCAGCTTTTACCCCATGAGGTGGCGGATGTCCAGCCAGTTCTTGACCTGCTGTCGAGGCAAGATCCCAAAGATTCTGAGGTGAGAGTGGAAGTACTTTTTTAGGGGAAAACATAATAATCCGGGCCTTCACAAATACTGTGCATTGCCCTTCTGTGGGTAAACTATGTATTGTCTTACGTTGTAAGATTTATCATTTAACAATATTGTGTTTAACCATCCACTCATTTCAGACTTGGGAAACTCGTTACATGCTGTTATTGTGGCTGTCCATGACCTGCCTCATACCTTTTGACCTTTATCGTCTGGATGGCCACCTGGAGTCAGACGGTGGCAAGGCCAGAGAGCCTACCATGGACCGTATTCTAGCTATTGCAAAGGCACGTTAAGTATACAATGTAATCTTGTTTATGTTTTGCTGTTTGGTAGTAAAGATATTGGTCTGTACGTCTAGGTCTTATTCCTCATAATGCATCGGCCGGACAACAGGATTTGTAGATCTTCAAAAATATCTGAATAAACTGTCTAAAAGTTTGGCAGCAGTGATTCTGTGACGGTTATGAAACAACAAAGTACCCTCCCCTTTAAGACGACAGTCCAGTAGCATAATAGCTGAAATGTATTTTATTTAGCCCTGGTCATTTTGTGGATGTGTTGTACAGTCATGTTATCATACAGTGTAAAATAACACTTTTTTTTTTTCACTTTCCAGTCATATTTACTTGTTAGTGATACTCCGAGAGATGCTGCATCTGTACTGGTATCAAAGTAAGTGCACAAACACCATGCTAGTTATTACACAGTGTTTTAATTTTGTCTCCAAAAATATCACAAACAATGGAAAAACAACACCCTTCACAAAATGGTTTCAGGTTTACAATTCTTATAGCTCGACTTTGACATTTTGATATTACAAAATAACATTTTACTCAAATGCAATGCATAATAAAACATGAATATAACCTCCACAAAATCCCGTCCAAGTCTAACCAAAGCAGTGAACTGTGAACTTTAGATAGACTGTTATGTGGTATACATAACATTACCCGAGTATTTTCATTGTATGCTAGATAGATAGATAGATAGATAGATAGATAGATAGATACTGTATTTATCCCGAGGGAAATACAAGTATCCAGTAGCCTACAAAACATACATTAAACATACATAAAATAAAATAAAAAAAAATGTACATACAACACAGTAAACATTATACCTTTACTCTTCTCTTCAGAGGCAAAAATTGTACTTTGTATATTTGTAATTTCAAACAAACCGTGATCAGCATGAGGAATATGATGCTGTGTTATTGATTTAACAACGCATAATGTATTTAAAATTAGCTTTACCTCAACCATACAGTCGTATGATCCCAACCAGATTTAACATTAATGTTTACATGTCACAATAATACAATATGTTATAGACACGTTCAATCTAGCTGATAATACGTTCGTACTTTTACGTAAGATAATCTTTGAGTGCAGGGCTTTTACATGTAATTGAGTAAATTATTTGTGGATATTTATGAGGTCAGATGATATTTTTTTAACGATAAGATAAACTGCGGACCTCGAGGAGTCTTAAAAAGGCCTTTTATTTGCCAACACCTGCTCGTGCGATTTTCCTTGAAGGTAACAGGATTCAGGAAGTTAACAAAATCATTCCCATGTGATCTGCAGCTGAAGACAGACAGCCCAGGGGTCTTTAAGGAAAAAGCGAAGCCTTCTGTTCGGTACCGTAGATTGCGCGGCGCCGTGCCGGTCAATGTTTTTAAATCGGCGGCCGCTTCAGCAAGTGTTACTAAGTTTAACTGCTAATATGGACGAAAGGTTAGTACTAATATGTCCAGAACTGCTGAGGACAACGCTAATAAGTAAATAAGTTCTATGAATACGGCAAGTACAAAAAGGTGGTGACCCGTATTCAGAGGGAGAGGCAGGGTGGAAGCACCTGTGTAGTAATAGGTGAATAAGGGATTTTCTTTTCTGGACATAATTTTATAATATTTTACCATCTTAAATTTAACTTTATTCAACTATTAATTAGTGTCCTTACATGCATAGAAGTAGAAGAAAACAAAAAACAATTCATTATACAACTACAGTGCACATTTTAGGTCTGCATTAAAATTAGTCAAGAAATATAGATCAATTTTTCGGCAAGAAAATATTGTTCCTGTTTTGCATACAGAGTCTGTCTCTCAGCATTAGTTCAGTGTGAGCAGTGTAGTTTGATAGATTATGTGTGACATAAGCACATTAGCAGTTACACTCAGGTGCTTCAGCCTAAGTTCGACCAGTTAGGCAAAGTGGAGTAAGTCATTTATGTTAAGGAGTTGTTGCAATGTCCAATGTTCGGGGGTGTAGTCAGCTGATAGCAACTGAAGAACATTACCAAAGTTTGTTTGCAAGCAGAGCTACATGATCAAAAGGTTTCAATAGCTTCTCCACTGGTGATTTCCTTAAACCCCTGTATGGCTCAGATAATTTTAAGGTTATATTATGCTTAATAAAAGTTTATCCTTTGAATGGGACTGTTTTTGCTGGCCTTGGTCTTCACCCAGTTTGAAGCTTATTTGGAGTTTGTTGTTGTCTGTATTCAGTCTTAGCCTGCAGAAGTTTTGATAGCCCTGTCAGTGTTTATTTACACAAGGGCTGAACAATAATGTTGCATTGCATATTCTTTCATCGGTTTACAAATTTCTGTTTCAAGAAAACTGCAATTAAAAGCTACCGAAAGTAGTTATGAAGGATTTTGTTTCATGTAATGCATAACAGTGGAACACAGTATTTAACATTTTGATATGTAATCATGTGCAGTTTGTTTTATGTTTCAGTTAACCAATTATGACAGTTAAGCAGATTATGAAAATGATTTGATTTCAGCACGGATTACACTGCTGTACTGAAACATACCTACATACCCTACCATACCTGCCCAATATCCAAGACTATTTAATTAGGTGGAGTGGTCCTTTAACAGTGAAACTGAAAGTAGAAAAATAATGTTTTTAATTAGTAAATATTGCAAAAACTGAAAAGTAATGTATACAAATATGGCAACTCACTGTAAACACAAAATACAATGTACATAAAAGTATTAAGTGTAATTTATTTTCTAGCCAATAGAGGGCAAGGTCCTGCTTGGAATGTCTTTCCTGGTGTCTGCATTAGTTTATCCTCATAAAACCTTTATTGCTTTCCTCTGTGTTGTTGTACATGACTGTACAGGTTCATGACGCGCCCTGATGTGAAACAGAAACGCCTCGGAGACTTCTTGGACTGGAGCCTCACCACCATATCCCAGACCAATGATGAG